CAGTTTATTCTGTTCATCAGATTATTTATTCACTTGATTTTTAGATTCACTTGTTGATAGATAAGTATTTGTTGTTCATAATTTTTATCTTTACCTTTTTCTTCTTCTTCTTCCTCTTCTTAAAGGATACCTTTCAGCATTTCATATAATACTGGTTTGGTGGTGATGAACTCCTTTAGCTTTTTCTTATCTGTGAAGCTCTTTATCTGACCTTCAATTCTGAATGATAGCTTTGTGGGTAAAGTAATCTTGGTTGTAGGTTCTTGCTATTCATCACTTTGAATATTTCTTGCCACTCCCTTCTGGCCTGCATAGTTTCTGTTGAGAAATCAACTGACAGTCCTATGGGTACTCCCTTGTAGGTAACTGACTGTCTTTCTCTTGCTGCTTTTAAGATTCTCTCTTTGTCTTTTGCTCTTGGCATTTTAATTATGATGTGTCTTGGTGTGGTCCTCTTTGGATTCCTTTTGTTTGGGGTTCTCTGCGCATCCTGGACTTGTAAGTCTATTTCTTTCACCAGGTAGGGGAAGTTTTCTGTCATTATTTCTTCAAATAGGTTTTCAATATCTTGCTCTCGCTCTTCTTCTGGCATCCCCATAATTCAGATGTTGGTTCGCTTGAAGTTGTCCCAGAGGCTCCTTACACTATCTTCATATTTTTGGATTCTTTTTTTGTTTTGCTTTTCCGGTTGGGTGATTTTTCCTTCTTCGTTTTTCAAATCTTTGACTTGATTCTTGCGATCCTCTAGTCTGCTGTTGGATCTCTGTATAATATTCTTTATTTCAGTCAGTGTATGCTTAATTTCTAGTTGGTCCTTTTTCATATACTCGAGAGACTCACTAATTTATTGGCGGTTTCTAGAAAATTCTTGAAAAACCTTATAACTGTGGTTTTGAACTCTATATCCAGTAGTTTGCTTTCTTCCATTTCTGTCATTTGTGACCTGTTTCTTTGTCTCCGCATTTTGGCTGCTTCTCTGTGTTGATAGAGTGGCTTTGTGTGCTAGGTGTCCTATAGGGCCCAGTGTCTCAGCCTCTCCAATTACCTGAGATGGACACTCTTGGTGCACCCCTTTGTGGGCTTTGTGCACAGTCTTGTTGTAGTTAAGCCTTGATTGTTGTAGGTATCACTGGGAGGATTTGACCTCCAGGCCAATTGGCTGTGAGAATCAGCTGTGTCTACAGTGGGAGAACTTCTGTGCTGGAGACACCCTTCTGGGGCAAGACTTGCTTCAGTGGGGCTTTGGTGCTCACTGAGTCTGCCCCCTGAGTATGTCCCTTATGGATATGAGGAGTTGTAATCTGGATGGTCCCACTCTGACCACTGGGTACACTGGCTCTTGGATCTCTAAGGAGGTGCTAATTTAGCCTCTGCCTGAGGCTACCCAGCAGGAGCTACAGAGAGATCTGCAGATTCCTCTTCTTTGTTTGGGGTTTGGAGGTGCCCAGATGAGACCCAGCTGTGAAGCAATGCAAGCTGCTTTGGGGCCTTGGGCCTTCTTTTGGATGTTCTGGGTCTCTCTGACCCAGCTGCAGTTTATTAGGTAATTTTAGATCTCAAAGGGCCAGCGCATTCATATGCAAAAGCCTCTGCTAGCAGCTTGGGTGGGGCGGGGTCTCGGGGAATCAACAGGGCAGGGCAAACAGCTATGGCTGCTCCTCAGCCCTGCCCTAAGAGGCCCCGGGTCTCAGTTTCCCACAGTAATCGCTGCAAGCACCTCTGAGAGAAAGCCGCCCTCGAGTTCTGCCCACTGCCAGACAGTCCAGTTTCTCCCCATATGAGTTGGGTCCCCAGAGACTCGCCCGGAACTGGAGTTCAGAGCAGTCGGGAGCTTGTGTCTCCCTCCTGATTGAAAAAGACAACCGTGTCCTCAGTTGCCAGCCCTTTCCGCGTGCACCTTCGTAACTGCACTTCCGCACCTCCTCTGAGTCTCAGTGTGCTTTTCTCTTTCCTTTTAGTTGTAGAATTTCCACTCAGCCAGGCTTACTGTGGTTCTGGATGATGTCCGTTTTGTCTTTTAGTTGTATTTTTGAAGTGGTTGTGCGAGGCAACAATTTCAGGTGTTTATGCCGCCATCTTGGTTTTTCGAGCCTAAATTTCTTTAATGAAATTGAGAAAACTGGGCCCGCACAAGTATAGAATTTCTGTGAATTATTGCTATAGGACTCATTCAGTGAAGAGATTTAGGCAAAGTCAGGTAGCACAGTTTGTCAATATAAAAGCCTTAGAAGAACAAATAGATTTTAACTTTGCTTAGATAGCTGTAGAGCAAAGTTTTAGAATTGCTAGAAATTATATCAGGATTAATTGGGGATTTTATAGATGCTGAAACAATTAGGAAGGCACCTTCTATAAATGAAGCAAGTTCAGGTATGGTCTCTAATAATTTTTTTTAAAAGAAGAAGGAGCCCAGCCAGTGTGGCTCAGTGGTTGAGAGTCAACCCATGAACTAGGAGGTCACAGTTCCATTTCCAGTCAAGACACATGCCTGGGTTGCAGGATCGATCCCCAGTGAGGGGCGTGCAGGAGGCAGCCGATCAATGATTCTCTCTCATTGATGTTTCTATCCCTGTCTCCCTCTCCCTTCCTCTCTCTGAAATCAATAAAAACACATTAAAAAAAGAAAGGAGAAGGAACACAGAACCAATTGTTGAAATTGCTGTGGCTTTCCTTTAAGCTAGAGAAGATTAACTTAACACTGGTTTTTTTGGTGGCTGGTTTACTCAGGAATAGTTTTTAGGACAAATAGCAAAGTATAATAGAGTTGGAGTAAGAATTAAGTTAGGAAATATATGAAAAGGGCTTTCACGATAGCTATTTTTATAATTAGTATCAAGCTCTGTTTGTTGTGGTAGTTAATTCCTTTAAGATTTTTATTGCTTCCATTTTTCTACTACCTAAGAAGGAAAATTAACAGAGAAGCTAAGAAGCAAAGTGGCATGACCATTAGAATTGAAAAGGACTCAATGGGTCATCTAGAAGAAACATGAACCTCAGTGTCCTGATCAGTAATGTGCCAGGGTTGACCAAGTCCTTGCAGCAGTTGTGAGAAGTGCCATGGGAAAGAAATCTGCTTAATTTTATTTGACTCACCCATTTTCCAAACATATTTGACTGCAGGAGTCTGTGATTGCTTTGTTTTTAAGAAATAACTCTCAACATTTTGCTGAACTATGTTTCTCAGTTTAGAATCTTCTGGACTAGATGATCCTTACAGTTTTTCCCATGGTTCAAAAGTCATTTCCATATAGGGTAAATTTATCAGCATTTATACCAGTACTCACATGTGCTGTTAAAGTACAAATGCAAACCTTAAGCCCTGCAGAGTGTTGTTAAGCTATACTTTTTTTGTACTGTTTTGGGTAGTAAATTAGACTATACTTTTATCAATTTCATATTTCTCCTCTTGCTACTCCTCCCTGATTTGAAATTATAAATATTTGTTTATAAGTATGGCTTTGCCATTTTGAACTTAAAGGCCAGTAAATGCTTTCTCTCTTTTTTAAAAACGTATTTTTATTGATTTTGAGAGAGAGAGAGAGAGAGAGAGAGAGAGAGAGAGAAGCATCAATGTGAGAATGAAGTATCAATCAGCTGCCTCTTGCATGCCCCCCACTGGGGATCAAGCCCAAAACCCTGGCATGTACCCTGACCTGGAATCGAACCCAGCAACTTTTCTGTGCATGTGATGGTGTCCAACCCACTGAGCTATGTCAGCCAGGGCAGTGCTTTCTCTTTTATTAATGGAGAACTACCTTCCTGTTTCCCGATTTCACTCCCAGCTTTGGGTTCACCATTCTTTCTGCTTACCTTTCATGGTGTGGGATATACCTAACATATTGGCAACTTTAGAACTTTCCAGAATATGCTGAGAGCACCTCTCATACCTGTGCTTTTAGACATATTCCACAGCTAAAATTAAATTACTGGTGGCCCAATCCTAGTTAAGATAAAAAATTAAATTACTGGATACATTTTTTCTTCTTTTTTTTTTAAATATATTTTATTGATTTTTTACAGAGAGGAAGGGAGAGAGATAGAGAGTTAGAAACATCGATGAGAGAGAAACATCGATCAGCTGCCTCTTGCACATCTCCTACTGGGGATGTGCCCGCAACCCAGACCTGTGCTTTTAGACATATTCCACAGCTAAAATTAATTAATGGTGGCCCAGTCCTAGTTAAGATAAAAAATTAAATTACTGGACACACTTTTTCTTCTCAATTTCATGTTTTTCTTCCAGAACTGTAAATATTGTTTAAATATTCCACAGCTGTTTATATAACTCCTTTTAAATGCCAGGAGCTATGATGGTGAATAAGACTTGTCCCCTTTGCTCAAATTGCTAATACTTTAGGGGAAGGGATAGAAAACTAAACAAATTCCAATAACATTAAGTTGTGATATGGGTAAGTATAGGAGTTATGGCAATTTATAGGACCTCTCTCCTAGTCCTAGAAATTTAGAAAAAGTTTTCTGGTGGAAGTAACTTCTATGTGGAGAATGGACTGACATCTGAATTAGCAATAATTGTTGACAATAACAATTAGCATCTTTTGAACACTTGAAAATGTCGGACTTAGTACGTAGCATTTTGCATATACAGGAATGGGTAAAAGTTTACAATTGTATGTGAAACAGAGTTTATTCTTTTTTTGTTTTGTTTTTATTTATTTTTAAATTTTCTTTATTGATTAAGGTATTACATATGTGTTCTTATCCCCCCATTCTCCCCCCCCCACAGAGTTTATTCTTGTATTATTATTTATTAATTGTTGTATTATTTTCCATACAAACAATTGTAAACCTACTTTTGCCCATCCCTGTATTAGTGATAATTCTTACAACAAGGGTTATCCCATTTTACAGAAATGAAAGGTTAGTCTCAGTGAGATTAAGTAACAAACAAATTCACAACTAGTGGCATAGCTAGGAGTTGAACAACCACGAACAAATTTTAGCAGAAGAGTTTGGAAACAGCTCATCATGCAAGTTCAAAAGCAATTTTTCAGGTACAAGTGTGTTCCTGATTTTATATTGCAAATGTACAGTATAGGAAATTTTTCTGCTAAGAAATTGTTCCTAGTTCATATTATGGAATTAAATAGATCAGTTCTAAGTTTTCTACACCTAACAAATGTAAACTCAGCTCTAAGATGAAAAGAAATTGATTATATGTCATAAGTTTATATTTTTAAAATAAATTTCACTTGTTTTATTGATTGAATTTTAGTTTCACTTTTATTAGAGTTGTTGACAATTGTAATCTCCAAAATGCAATACCTCATTCTCAAAAATTTTTTTTATTTAACAAAGTTTTATTTTTCAAAATGTACAGCCAGTGAGACCTATTGCTCGTGCATCTTCTCCAGCAGCTGGGGCATCCCCACCTCTGGTGTTTCTGGTGTAAATTACCTGAGCTCTGTGCCTCGAGGCTGGTTTAATAAGTTCTTTACTAAGGAGCTCCTGAAGGGCTGCCCTGGTCAGAGAGCCGTGAATCTTCAATCTCTCCGAGACCACAGCGGGGGTAATAAGCTTGTCATTGGGAACTTCCTTACAGAGTTTGTCAAACAAGACCAGGTTATTGAGCTTGTCCCAAACTTTGCCTTTGGACCACTTCTTCTATTTGGCCTGCCCCCCCCCCTTCACCGCCCCCCCCCCCGACTTCTTCACATGGTCTTTGTCTTTCTTGGCTGACTTTCCAGCATCTTTCTTCTTCTTGTCGTCCTTGGGTGGCATTGTGAGACTCGGAGGGCAGGGCACCGCTGCTGCCTCACCAAGATGTCGGCCTGAGAGCTCACTCTCAATTTTGATGAAATAGCCTTGGCTATAAAATTACTATAAAAGCTCATAGGGATTAATAAACATGACTGATTTTCCTTTTTCCCTTTTAGTTTGGAATATGGGCAGATCAGCTTGGGGATGGAAGAGCCCATCTTATTGGAATTTACATGAACAGGTATCACATGTTTTCTTGAATAGCTTTTCTGCTAAGTATTTACATGAATTTTCTAATACTTACATATTTTTTGAAGGCTGGGTGAAAAGTGGGAACTTCAATTAAAAGGCTCAGGAAAGACCCCATACTCCCGGTACAGTTTTTTTCGTTTGTTTGGTTTTTTTTACTGAACTAAATTAAAATGATGTTGTCTTTATCATTGAAAATCTTTTAATCTTATTTCCTGTAGAAATGGTGATGGCAGAGCTGTACTTCGTTCCTCCGTGAGAGAATTTTTGTGTAGTGAGGCTATGTACTATCTTGGAATCCCAACCAGCAGAGCTGCAAGGTAACTCCTCTTTCCTTGGAGCTAACTTTCAGGACTGGATCATGTTATTTCCAGAAACATTAGTAAATGGAGCAGATAAGTTTCTGCTTATAGTTTCTTATAGTTTTAGGTGTTGTTATTTTTTTGTTAATCCTCACCCGAGGATATTTTCCCCATTGATTTTTAGAGAGAGGGGAAAGGAGGGAGGGAGGAGAGAGAAAGAGAGAGAGAGAGAGAAAAACAGAGAAACATCAATGTGAGAGAGACACGTGCCTCCTGAACGTGCCCTGATGGGGTGGGGATCAAACCTGAAACCTAGGTATATTTCCTTGAGTCAAAATCAAACCCTAGACCAGGGGTGGGCAACCTTTTTGTGAGTGCGTGCCAAAACCAGCAAAATCTCTGACTCAAAATTCTTCTGCGTGCCAACCCTAATTTTTTGAGAACATGTTACACCTACTTGATATCTCTTAAGGTGTACGTATGTGAAGAACCTTGAAGAAATAATAAAATTCATTCGAGCGACAAAAACACAGTATATGATGATGAAAAATACATTTATTTTTTAATGTATACATGTACACTGATAGTCCGACAGAAAACTTTATGACTCCGTTTGCTATTATCAGTGGGACTTTTGCTGCTGCATTACTGATGACAGAGATTTTACATCAGGTTTATATTTCATGACCTTCAGAGATATGCATGAGCTACTACTTTCATCCGTCAGGCTGCTCCTATTACAAGACTTAACAAAATTCATCACTGCGAACAAAGATTCACAACTGTAAATGGAAGATTATAAGAGAGGGTTTCGCGTGCCAGCAAAAGTTACTGGCGTGCCATGTTTGACACGCGTGCCAGGGGTTGCCCACCCCTGCCCTAGACCCTTCAGTGTGTAGGCTGAGAAACACCAGCCAGGGCAGTTTTAGGTGCTTCTTTGTTTGTTTGTTTGTTTGTTGTTAATCCTCACCTGAGGATATTTTTTTCCCATTGATTTTTTTTCAATTTATGTATTTTATTTATTTATTTATATTTAAAATCTTTATTGTTGAAGGTATTACATAGGTCCTCCTTATTCCCCCATTAATCTCTTCCAGCCTGCTCCCATCCCTGCCCCCCTCCCCCAGACCCTCACCACCCCCTTGTCTGTGTCCCCCGGTTATGCATATATGCATACAAGTTCATTGGTTGATCTCTTCCCACCCACCCTCCTCTTCCTTCCCTCTGAAGTTCAACTGTTTGTTCATGCTTCTATGTCTCTGGGGCTATTTTTGCACGCGGACCAGCCTCTGGGGCTATTTTTGATCATTAGTTTATTTGATTCATTAGAGTCCACATATGAGTGAGATCATGTGATACTTATCTTTCTCTGGCTTATTTCGCTTAGCATAATACTCTCCAGGTCCATCCATGCTGTTGCAAATGGTAAGAGTTCTTTCTTTTTTATTGCCGCATAGTATTCGATGGTGTAAATGTACCACAGCTTTTTTTTTTTTTTACCACAGCTTTTTAAAAAATATGTATTTTTATTGATTTCAGAGAGGAAGGTAGAGAGATAGAGAGAAACATCAATGATGAGAGAGAATCATTGATTGGCTTCCTCCTGCACACCCCCTACTGGGGATCAAGCCCACAACCTGGGTATGTGCCCTTGACCGGAATCAAACCCGGGATCCTTCATTTTATTTATTTTTATACCACAGCTTTTTAATCCACTCATCTACTGATGGGCACTTAGGCTATTTCCAAATCTTAGCTATTGTAAATTGCACTGCTATGAACCTAGGGGTGCATATATTCTTTCTGATGAGTGTTTTGGGTTTCCTAGGGTATAATCCTAGAAGTGGGATTACTGGGTCAAATGGGAGTTCCATTTTTAATTTTTTGAGGAAACTCCATTCTGTTTTACATAATGGCTGCATCAGTCTGCATTGCCAGCAGTGTACTAGGGTTCCCTTTTCTCCACAACCTCACCAATATTTGTCGTTTGTTGATTTGTTGATGCTAGCCATTCTGACCGGTGTGAGGTGATAATCTCATTGTCTTTTTGATTTGTATCGGATGATTAATGACTGAGCATTTTTTTATATGTCTCTTGGCTTTCTGTATGTCCACTTTGGGTAAGGGTCTATTTAGATCCTTTGCCCATTTTTTAATTGGATTGTTTGTCTTCCTTTTGTTAAGTTGTATGAGTTCCCTATATATTTTGGAGATTAACCTCTTATCCGATGTATCATTGGCAGATATGTTCTCCCATGTAGTGGGTTTTCTTGTTGTTTTGTTGATGGTTCCTCATGCAGTGCAGAAGCTTTTTATTTTGATGTAGTCCCATTTGTTTATTTTCTCCTTAGTTTCCATTGTCCTAGGAGATGTATCAGTAAACATATTGCTATGAGAGATGTCTGAGATTTTGGTGCCTATGGTTTCTTCTAGGGCTTTTATGGTTTCATGACTTACATTTAAGTCCTTTATCCATTTTGAGTTTATTTTTGTGTATGGTGCAAGTTGGTGGTCTAGTTTCATTTTCTTGCATGTACCTGTCCAATTTTCCCAGTACCATTTATTGAAGAGACTGTCTTGACTCAATTGTGTGCTCTTGCCTCCTTTGTCAAATATTAATTGAGCATAGTGGTTTGGGTAAATTTCTGGGTTCTCTTTTCTGTTCCATTGATTTATCTGCCTATTCTTGTGCCAGTATCCATTGATTTTTAGAGAGAGTGGAAGGGAGGGGGAGAGACAGAGAGAGAGAAACATAGATGTGAGAGAGACACATTGACTAGTTGCCTCCTGCATGTGCCCTGACCAGGGCCGGGGATTGAGCCATTGAGCTTGCAACTGAGGTATGTGCCCTTGTCCACAATAGAACCCGTAGCCCTTCAGTCTATGACTGATGCTCTAACCATTGAGCAGAACCAGTTAGGGCTTTAGGTGCTTCTTGATAGCTTGTTTGCAGTTAAAGTGTAACTTTAATTGTTTGATTCTCTTATGTTCCAGTCTAGTTGTAAGTGATGATGAAGTATGGAGAGATCAGTTCTACAATGGGAACATTGTGAAAGAACGAGGTAAGACCAGTTTTTAGATTACTTGTATAAAATTCGACTAAGTTTTTTAACTTCTTTATTGACTTTTTTGGGTGACATTGATTAATAAAATTGTATAGGTTTCAGGTGTACAGTTCTATAATATATCATCTGTATGTTGTATTGTGTGTTCATTACCCAAAGTCAAGTCTCCTTCCATCACTATTTATCCTCTCTTTACTCTTTTCTACCTCCCCCACCCCTCTCCCCCCCTGTTGTCTGCATCTATGAGTTTTGTTTTTTTCTTAATCCTTTCACCTTTTTAGCCCCACAACCTCCGTTCCCTCTGACAGCTGTCAGTCTGTTTTCTATCTGTTTCCATTTTGTTAGTTAGTTTATTTTGTTCATTAGATTCCACATATAAGTGAAATCATATGATATTTGTCTTTCTCTGACTGGCTTATTTCACTTGACATAATACTCTCCAGGTCCATCCATGGTGTCGCAAAGGGTAAGATTTCATTCCTTTATACAGCTGAGTAGTATTCCATATGTAAATGTACCACAGCTTTTTTACCCACTCATCTACTGATTGTGCTTGGGCTGCTTCCAGATCTTGGCTATTGTATATTGCACTGCAGTGAACATAGGGTGCAAGACTAAGTTCTTTAAAAACAATAGATATTGGACATCTTTTCAGTCTTCTTAAAGAATGACCCGTGGTTCTTCCAGATATTTCAGCATTATCTTACATAATAATTGACAAACATGCAAATTGACCGTACCTTTGCCATGCCTTAAGCCACGCCCACCAGCCAAATCAGAGTGACTATATGCAAATTAACCCAACCAAGATGGCGGCCAGCAGCCTCAGAGCTGTAGCAAGCAGGAGGCTTGGTTGCCCCAATGATGGAGGAAGCCAAGCTTCCTGGCCGGCTGCTGCCTCCTTTCAAGGCAACAAAGTTTCAATTATAGAAGGTAAATAAACCCCAGATACCTGCTTCCAGTCGCCATTGCCACAGAGCTGGAGCGAATAAAAAAAAAAAAAAAAAAAAGGAAAGGCTGGGAGCTTCAGTCGCCAGGGGGCTTGGTCAGTCTGAAAACAGCCATCAGCCCCTAACTCAGGCTGGCCAGGCACCCCAAAAGGGACCCCCACCCTGAAGGGGGTGTGGGCAGTCTGAAAACAGCCATCAGCCCCTCACCCAGGCTGGCCAGGCACCCCAACAGGGACCCCCACCCTGAAGGGGGTGTGGGCAGTCTGAAAACAGCCATCAGCCCCTCACCCAGGCTGGCCAGGCACCCCAACAGGGACCCCCACCCTGAAGGGGCTGTGGCCAGCCTGAAAATGGCCCTCAGCCCCTCACCCAGGCTGGCCAGGCACCCCAGCGGGGACCCCTACCCTGAAGGAGCTGTGGCCAGCCTGAAAACAGCCCTCAGCCCCTCACCCAGGCTGGCCAAACCCCCATGGGGTGAGGGTCCCCACTGGGGGCTTGACCAGCCTACAAACAGCCATCAGCCCCTCACCCAGGCTGGCCAGGCACCCCAGTGGGACCCCACCCTGATCCAGGACACCCTTCAGGGCAAACCAGCTGGCCCCCACCCGTGCACCAGGCCTCTATCCTATATAATAAAAGGGTAATATGCAAACTGACCCTAACAGCAGAATGACTGGGAATGACTGGTCACTATGACACACACTGACCACCAGGGGGCAGATGCTCAATGCAGGAGCTGTCCCCTGGTGGTCAGTGCGCTCCCACAGGGGGAGCTCTGCTCAGCTGCAAGCCAGGCTGATGGCTGCCAGCACAGCGGTGGTGGCAGGAGCCTCTCCCGCCTCCTCAGCAGCACTAAGGATGTCTGACTGCCGGCTTGGGTCCGATCTCCCAGGGAGTGGGCCTAAGCCAGCAGGTGGACATCCTCCGAGGGGTCCCAGACTGCAAAAGGGCATAGGCCGGGCTGAGGGACCCCCCTGAGTGCACAAATTTTTGTGCACCGGGCTTCTAGTGATATAATAGCATTTCCTTTCCCACATTCTTACATCACTAATCCATCCATTTCAAAAGCAAACATCTGGGAAGTGAACAAAAAATGTTTATGGACAATTGACAAAATGTTACAAAGCTAGTACATGAAAGTTCACACACTTTCCTTCTAGGAGAGCCCTCAGACCTTTCCTTAGAGCCTGGCTGCTCTTACTTCATGTTTACTTCTAATAGGTTCCATTAACTTTTCCTCAACCTTAGTAGGTTAGAAAAAAATATTAGAAAGGGGATAAGAAAGTGTGCTGTAGAACAGCAAAAAGAGAGAGAGTAAGAAATTTGACTCTGAATCTTTGGGGAGAAAGGGGACCTAAAAATTGATAATAAACATACTTAACTGCTTAAAAGGCAGAGCTACCAAGCCCTGCTGACAGCCTTCCATGCTTTATTGGGTCACTGCATCACAGGGCAGCATTTTTACTGAGGTTCATAGTGATTCACCAGAGCACGTTTAAAAAAATATATATATATATATTTTGATTTCAGAGAGAAAGGGAGAGAGAGTGAAAGATAGAAACACCAATGATGAGAGGGAATCATTGATTGGCTGCCTCCTGCACACCCCACACTGGGGATCGAGCCTGCAACCTGGGCATGTGGCCTGGACTGGATTCGAGCCTGGGACTCTTCAGTCCGCAGGCCGACGCTCTATCCACTGAGCCAAACCGACTAGGGCACCAGAGCACATTTTATGTTCTTTATACTTAGTGTATAATATGTTTTGATAGGATTTTCATTAAAAAAAAATCCCCCAACGTATTTATGCTTAAATGAATTAAGGGTTATATATATATTTAAATATTTTTATTGATTTGAGGGAGGGGGAGGGAGGGGGATAGAGAGATAAACAACCCTGAGACAGAAACATCTATATGCTGCCCCTTGCACGCCCCCTACTGGGGATAAAACCTGAAGCCTGGGCATGAACCCTGACCAGATTTGAACTGGTGACCTCTTGGTTCATGGGTGAATACTCAACCACTGAGCCACACTGACTGGGCAAAGCTTATGTGTTTTTATGGTATCTCTCCCCTTTAATTTCATCTGGATAAAATGGACATTATTGCACACAAGCCTATAACAACTGTGCAGGTCTTTTTGTTAATGGTGACTGGAAATGAGAGTCCAACCACAGACTGTTCATATGATGGAAACAACACTGCTTACTTCTGTGGCTGTGACTTATATATATTGTTAATGTGAATTCCAAACTACAGTCTTAATGGTTTCAAATAGTTTTCCGTATTTCTCCTTTTTAGGCCATTACTAGAATTTCTATATCTATATGTTCACATATATACAGATATTTTGATTGTGCTTTTATGCTATTTGCCCAGCAGCCACTGTGGTATATTGAGAAAAGTGCTAGACAGGCAAACAGAATATGTGACCAGCTCTGTGGGAATTGATTTGTCACTTGGAGCAAGTTACATTCTGGCCCTGTTTCTCTATCTAAAATAAGGCTGTTAGATTAGATGATTCATTTTGTGTCTTTTAGTGCTAACATTCAGTGATTCAATGCCTATTCATTAAATAGACATTAGAATAACTTATTGAGCTCGTATGTTTAATAAGTGACTACATTTTTATTGCTCAAAAAACCCCCACATGAAAATAAATGTCTAGATTAATATTGTGAATACATCCTGACTATACGGTAATTCAGTCAATCCAGAAAATACTTATTGACCCTTTTTCTGTGCCTACCATTGGACTAAACTCTAGGGTGTCCAGGAATAGTGAGTATATATCATAGTCCTTAGTCTCCATAGAGAAAAGACTTAGATATATGGAACAGATGAACAATAAAAGATCTGAAGTCAGTAACAGGGGGAACATTTTAGCTTTATGGAGGAAGTGGGAATTATCTTTTAAAATATATTTTTTAAATTTATTAATTTTTAGAGAGAGAAACATTGATTTGTTGTTCTACTTATTTATGCATCCATTGGTTGATTCTTGTATGTACCCTGACTGGAGATCAAAACCGCAACCTTGGTGTATCAGATGATGCTCTAACCAACTGAGCTACCTGCCCAGGGTTGGGAATTGATCTTGAGTATAAGATTAGGAAAGATTTCAGGATGGGGTGAAGAGGGTGTGAGGTAGGTATAGCAGGGGAGACCAGCACAAAGGCCCAGAGGTAGCAGGAAGTCTACTGAAGAACAGCACCAACAAAGCAGGAGCCCCTCGGATAGACTTCACCTTGATATCTAAACACATGTAAGTACAGCATTTCCTAAAAGCAAGAAACATGAATTCTATTTATTAATTGTATTACTAACGTCTATAATCAAAACAGAAGGCAGTTATACAGAATTACAAACAGACCCAAATACAAAATGCATAGATTCACTTTATTTCTTCAGTGTATTCATAGTTAGAACATATGCAAACATTTATTTATTGAAGTTAACTTTCAGTTAGTTACACAAATGAAAGGAACTTGCAGGGACTATGCCATAGAAATCTATACTTATAATAGGATAATATGCAAATTGGTCGGGAAGCTGTCACTTAACGACCGATCAGCAGGCTGCGTCCCCACCCCCTGCACTGGCCTGGAGACATGAGGCTCATGTCCCTGACCCCGGCAACAGCCCCGGGATGTGAGGCTCATGTCCCCGTCCCCCGCACTGGCCTGGGGACGTGAGGCTCACGTCCCCATCCCCCCTGTGCCGGCCCAGGGATGTGAGGCTTGTGTCCCTGCACCCTCTAATTAATTCCCTTTTAATGTGCACGAATTTCGTGCACCGGGCCACTTGTAACTCAATAATTCACTAACTCACAATTGAGGAGATAGTGGGATTTTGATGTTTGGAACCTAATGATTTAACTGAGCAGTCTTTAGCTAGGTCAGAGCCTCGGTATTTCTGAAAGTGTTGTGGCTCCTAACATTCTAACTGATTCAGGCTTAAAGAAATGTAGAAAAAAATCCTTGATCCTTCCGAGGGTATAAGTTAGTTGTTTTTCCAGTACAGATACTGAATTCTTTTCCAGTCAGAGTACATACAAGAATCAACCATTGGATGCATAAATAAGTAGAACAACAAATCAATGTTTCTCTCTCTAAAAATTAATAAATTTAAAAAATATAGTTTAAATAATATATTTTAAATAAAATTTTAAATAAAATTCTCAATTTTATTTTTTAAGAAAAGCATTTAGATCAGCGGTTCTCAACCTGTGGGTCGCAACCATTGGAAAACACATATAGCATATCAGATATTTACATTACGATTCATAACAGTAGCAAAATTACAGTTATGAAGTAGCAACGAAAATAATTTTATGGTTGGGGGTCACCACAACATGAGGAACTGTATTAAAGGGTCGCGGCATTAGGAAGGTTGAGAACCACTGATTTAGATTATGTTTGCATAGTTTGAAATAGTTTATGCTGAAATAAATGTTTCTTTTGCAGGTGCAGTAGTGCTTCGCGTTGCAAAATCATGGTTTAGAATCGGATCATTAGAAATTTTGACTCATTATGGTGAACTGGATTTACTAAGGTTAGAAAATGACATTTTTTAAGTGGTAGAAGACAATTGAAAAATGCTTATTTATGTGTTGGGAAGTTAACTTGTGTGTGTGGGCCGGGGGCAGCGGGGGGCGGAGAGAAAAGCAAGCAAGAATTTATTGACTGCAGCAAAAATATACTTAGGACAATGAAAGAAGGAAGGGCACAGAAGAAGCAACAGGAGAGCCTAGGTTGGGGTGTTTTAGCTCACGGGGAAGTCAGAGAAAAGGGGCCCTTGGAGACAGGTTCAGGGTTTAGCCCAGATGGAGCTGCTGCTGCCCATTGCTCCCCTGATTGCAAGTCTCATGGGGTCCCTTAGAGGTTAGGGGGTACGTGCCTTTGAGGAAAGGAGAAGGGGAAGGGAATGGCATGGGCATGCTCCCTGGAGGGAGAGCACCAAGTTAAATATTTTTGGTTTTCAATAAGTATACTTATTTTATTTATTTATTTATTTATTTATTTATTTATTTATTTAATCCTCATTGGAGGATATGTTTTTATTGATTTTAAAGGGGGGGTGGGGAGACAGACAGGGAGAGAGAGAGAGAGAGAGAGAGAGAGAGAAACATCCATTGGTTGCCTGAGAGAGAGAGAGAGAGAGAGAGAGAGAGAGAAACATCAGTTGGCTGCCTTCAGTGTGCTCCCCGACTGGGGATCAAACCTGAAACCCAGGTATTTGGCCTGACCGGGAATTGAACCAGTAGCCCTTTGGTGCATGGGACAGTACTCAACCAACTGAGCCACTCTGGCGGGGCTGTTCTGTTGTTTTTATACTTCGTATATATTTCCATTATTGCATGCATTGTGTTGTAATGTCATTATTTTTTATATGTTATCCTCTAATCAACTATATGCTTTTTGAGGGCTGGGTCTGAGTCTTATCCTTCTTCTTCCTATCACTTGCACAGGGCTTGTAGATATTCCATGGATGTTTATTGAGTTAATCTGAATTTGTAACATAATAAGATGGAATCTAATATGATGTTAGAAACATAGTTCCAGTTTTGATTAATATTGAGGAAATATTTCTCTATTGCTGTTTTGGGGGTACAGTCTTACTTTTTTTTTATTTTTTTTAAAAATATATTTTATTGATTTTTTACAGAGAGGAAGGGAGAGAGATAGAGAGTTAGAAACATCGATGAGAGAGAAACACCGATCAGCTGCCTCCTGCACACTCCCTACTGGGGATGTGCCCGCAACCCAGGTACATGCCCTTGACTGGAATCGAACCTGGGACCCTTCAGTCCACAGGCAGACGCTCTATCCACTGAGCCAAACCGGTTTCGGCAAGTCTTATTTTAATTTTTAAAAATTTTAAGTGTGAGCCCTAGCTGGTTTGGCTCAGTGGGTAGAGTGTCGGCCTGCAGACCAAAGGCTCCCGGGTTCCATTCCAGTGAAGGGCATGTACCTTGGTTACAGGCTCCTCCCTGGCCTGGGCCCTGGTCAGGGCTCATGCAGGAGGCTACCAATCAATGTGTTTCTCTCAAATCGATGTTTCTCTCTGTCTTTCTCTCTTCTATTCTCCCTAAAAATCAATGGAAAAATATCCTCAGGTGAGGATTAACAAAAAAATTTAAAATAAAGTAAAATTTTAAGTGTGGAATCTAATGAATTAATGAATTGCAAGGGTGGATTTAGGTGATTGGATATTCAATACTGTATTCTGAGGAACACTGATGCTATCTCCTTTTAATTTCCAGGACATTATTAGATTTCATCATACAGGAACATTTCCCCTCAGTAGATATCAAAGAACCTAATAGATATGTGGTAAGTTTTTATTTATTTTTTAAAATATATTTTTTATTGACTTCAGAGAAGAAGGAAGAGGAAAAGAAAGATAGAAGCATCAATAAGGAGAGAATCATTGATCGGCTATCTCTTGCACATCCCCCACTGGGGATCGAGGCCACAACCTAGGCATGTGCCCTGACCAGGAATCAAACCGTGACCTCTTGGTTCATCGGTCAATGCTCAACCACTGAGCAGCACTGTCTGGGCTGTGGTACGTTTTTAAAGAGAAAGAGAAATACTTTTGCTTTCTCTCATTGGCCTGCCAATATTAGTGGTTACACCTTAGGACTGAAAAAAATTCAGTTAGGCAAGGAAATATAGAGCATCATGAACATTTTAGAGGAACATAAGGTGAACCACTTCATAAACAAGGCAAAGATAAGAAAGTTGTTTCCTTTGAAAGTTATCTAGAAGAAAAAAATAGGTGCTACTACATCCTAACTGTATACATTTTTGTTGTTGTTAATCCTTCCACAAGGATACAACCAAGGTTCATGCCCTTGACCAGAATCAAACCCAGGACCCTTTGGTCTGCAGGCTGATGCTCTATCCACGGAGCCAAACTGGCTAGGGCTGTATTCATTATTTTTTGAGAAGCATTTATAAGTTGATCACATATATTCTTTTCTCACCCATTATATTTCTAAAATAGTAGTTCTAAAGTAAACATAATAGGAAAATGTGATTTTCTGTTTTTGTGAAAAAATTTTTATTCTTTTAAGAGTCACAGAGAAGAGAATCCATTATTTTTCTTGGTGACTCATTTTAAAGTTTATTAGTTCACTTCACTTACATTTAACTCCCTTGTGCTGAAATCTGATGCTTTTCCCTTTTTTTGTTAATCCTCACCCAAGGATATTTTTCCTGTTGATCACTAGAGAGAGTGGGGCAGAGAGGAAGGGGAAGAGAGGGGGGGGGGGAGGGAGAGAGAAAGAGAGAGAGAGAGAGAAAGAGAGAGAAATAATCAATGTAAAAGACATCCATCGGTTGCCTCCTGCACCCTTGCTGGGGATCGAACCTGCAACCCAAGTACATGCACTCGACTGGGAATTGAACCTGAGACCCTCTGGTGTATGAGCCAGGCTCTAACCACTTAGCAACACCAGACAGGGCACTTTTTCCTTTTTTTTATTGCACATGGAGAAAGCCTGGTCATCATGCTGTGTATGAGCCTTTTATATATTATTTCTAATTGAATAATTTTATATTCTTCCATATATAATTTCTATTTATTTAGTCATCTGTTGGCTAGCCTTTATAAAATCTGAAATTTTCTTTAGGAATTTTTTTCCATTGTGGTATCTGAGACGGCACAACTGATTGCTCTGTGGATGTCTGTTGGTTTTGCTCATGGTAAGTTATCTATTAATGTTTCACTCTCTGATGAGAAAGTAGAATGAATCTGTAGAGGCAGAAGACTTCTTTTTTATGTATTTCAAAATATTCCTGCTGATGGACTTCTTAACATTTATAACATACTAGAGGCCCAGTGCACAAAATTAATGCATGGGGGGTGTGGGGGGCTCCCCTCAGCCTGGCCTGTGCCCTCTTGCAATCCGGGACCCCTCCGGGAATATCAGGCCTAAACTGGCAGTCGGACACTCGCAATCCGGGACACTGCATGCACTAGTGACCATACTTTTCATACAAGTGAAAGGAATCTTGCTGTTGTATAGGCAGCTACATTTTTTTGCCCTGATTATAAAAAGTAGTACATAACATAATCCTATTGAGGCAGTAGTACCATTTTCCTCCATCTTATGGGTGGAAAAACTGAAGCAGAGAGAAGTTAGGTAATTGGCTTTGTCACACAGTTACAAGTGTCAGAATCAGGGATTACCACAAAATGTGCAAGCCAGAGTCCATGCATGTCATCGCTGCATCATCCTGTTTTTTCAGTGTTAGAATAGTCTTGCCAGGTTTTAATTTTTAAATCTTAAGAGACTGTTCCCAATATATAGGGTATGGTCCCTAGGCCTGGCTGGTGATCAGGGCCATCTGTGGGGTGACTGGCAGGCGGGGCGATGGTGGGGGGGGGCGTTGAGTGTCTGACCCCTGGTGATCAGTGCACATCATAGAGACCGGTTGTTCTGCTGTTTGGTCAATTTGCATACTAGGGTTTTATTATATAGGATGAGCTTGTTTTTAGCAACAGAGAAACAATTTTCTCATGTTTAAAGTGGTTTTGAATTGAATAGTGTACATAAAATAGAATAAGAATGACCTTATGAGTATATATTTAGATTTCCTTAAAGGTGTTTTTTAAAGTCTTAATTATAAAGTACTAGAGGCCTGGTGCATGAATTTGTGCACCAGTGGGGTCCCTTGGCCTGGCCCGCCTGCAGGATTGGGCCGAAACCTGCTCTCCGACATCCCCCAAAGGGTCCCAGATTGCGAGAGGGCCGCAGGCCAGGCCAAGGGACCCTACCGGTGCATGTTCAGGCCCGGGGTATGAGGGAAGTTGGCCAGCTGGGGAGGGACCTCAAGAGGGCTCCAGGGCGTGTCTGGCCTGTCTCGTTCAGTCCTGATCGGCCGGACCCCAGTAGCAAGCTAACCTACCAGTCGGAATGTCTGCTGCCTGGTGGTCAGTGCATGTCATAGCGAGCGGTTGAGTGGTCTTAGCATATCATTAGCATATTATGCTTTGATTGGTTGAATGGATGACTGGATGACCGGACATTTAACATGTTAGGCTTTTATTATATAGGATTACCTGCTTATGGTAAAGAATTTAAAATATAGGTCATTTTAAGTCCCATTCTCACTTGATCTTAGCCAAAAGGCCGAGAAGCGATTAAGTCCCATTCTCTAGGATAATCATTAACAATTTCATATCAAGTTTTCTAGACTATGTTGATGATATTCATATGTCTCCTACAAAAACAGCAAGGTAACATTGCAAGGAATATCTGCCTGAACTATTAATAACTGAAAAGCAAGTTCTGTATATCCTAAGGTCTCTAGATAGATACCAAAGGAGGACTCCATATTGCAGAACTTCTTGAAGTTGGCTTGCAAAATTTCTTGAAACTGGCTTTAATTTTCTCCCACGCTCTGTATCTCTCTTAGGGCTGGATGGGAAACAGGGCAGGTGTTTCAGAGTTTTTGCTATTATGAACTGTGTTGCAGTGACCACCATGAAACTACATCTTTGTATTCTCAAAGATGAGTTTTTAAAAAAATTTTAATACATTTTTGTTGATTTCAGAGAGGAAGGGAGAGGGACAAAGAGATAAAAGCATCAATGATGAGAGGGAATCATTGGCTGCCTCTCACTAGGGATCAAGCCCACACCGAGTCATGTGCCCTGATCGGGATTGAATTGTGACCTCCTGGTTTGACGCTCAACGACTGAGTCTCTGAGGCCAGGCTCGAAGATTAGTTTTCTAAGTAAACCCCTAAAAGTGGAATAGCTGGGTTAGAGAGTCTGTACATTTAACATTTTGATAAACAGAACCATCTTCCTCTGAAAAAGGTTGAAACCCTCTCTATTGAACACTGTGCCACCATGCCCAAGAACCTATATTAGGCTGGTGTGTCCATGGCTTCCTCCAAACCCGCACTCAGCCCCCGTTCATGAGCCCTGCACCTAAGCGGTCTTTCTCGCCCCACCTCCCACACTGCTTGTGGTCTGCAACTCAGTACTGTTAATGTGGGTAGGTATCCACATTTTCATCTTTTCCCCTTCTCACAGCCTTTGAAAATTAATTTTATTCCTTTACTAGTCTCAGTTCCATTCCAAATAACATATATTTTAAACAACTGCTAGAAATTGAGAATAAATAAGAGGAAGTTTTATTTCTTGGGACTAAAGTATTGAAAATCTTTGGGGACAGAGGAGTATAAAACAAAAGGCTACATTTATTTTTAAAATATAGTTGTAATATAAAACTATTTGTCTTCTTTAATTAAACTTTTCAATTGATAATTAAATTTTGCTTCATTTCTAAAAGAAATGCATTTCCATGACCTTTTCCATTCTGGAAAATTTTATACGGTTAAAAAATGCTTTTGTTATTTTATCATATTTTTGGAAATTTTTGTTGTTTTAGGTGTTTGTAATACTGATAACTTCAGTTTGTTATCCATTACAATTGACTATGGTCCATTTGGTTTTATGGAAGCCTATAATCCAGGTATGTATGATTTATATGTATATATAGATACCTTATTTCACAAGTTTATTTTAGATAAACTGTTATAGCTAATACAATGATGGGGTAGTAAAAGAATTGAGATCATTTGTAGAATGGTAGTTTTGTGTTGTACTCAATCTTCTAGGTGCTATAGGGATACAAAAATGAATTCTTTGTAACTTCTGCCCTTAAAGAATTACACGTTAGTGAAGATGACCTGAAGGACAGTAGGGAATATGTTGTCAGACAGGCGTGAGTTTGGTTTCGGGCATCTGACCCTTAACGGCTCTGTGTCCTTGTACAAGTTAACTTAACCTCTCACTAACCTATAAAATGAAGGTAACACTAATATTATACTTGACAGTGGAAGGATGAGAGAGGGCTTTGTGGACAACATACTACCTGAGTTGGAGTTTGAAGTCTGTATTTGATGACCTGGAAATTCTTGTAGGTTAGAAATGTATTCATCTATTAGGCACATATTCACATTATAAAATATTTTCATGTGTATGGACATTAAATATTTATATTACTTTTGAGTTAAATGTTTAATGTTAGAAAAAGTTTTACCTAATAAATAGAAATTTATTAAGTTTAAATATAAATTAAAAAATAGAGAAAACAGCTCTTTGTTGTAATTATCCTTACTATATAAAGATAGTATTTTTGTGTTAAACAGATTTTGTGCCAAACACATCTGATGATGAAAGAAGATATAAAATAGGAAATCAGGCCAATATTGGGATGTTTAATTTGAATAAGTTGTTACAAGCTCTAAACCCAATACTGGATCCAAGGCAAAAGCAGCTGTGAGTAAATCCTAAACCTACTAATTAAATCTGTGTGAAAATATATTTGTAAAGTGATCATTTTTTATTTTTATTGATTTCAGAAAAGAAGGGAGAGGGAGAGAGAGATAGAAACATCAATGATGAGAGAGAATCATTGTTTGGCTGCCTCCTGCATGCCCCCTACTGGGGAAAAAAATGATCATTTTTGAAAAACAAGAAAGTGACATTTTGAAAACCAGCATATTATTTAGTCTTTAATAATGACAGCATTTCAAACTCTATATTTTTCTCTAGTTCAGTTTTGGCTTTTTTCCATAGTTACCAGGATAAGTTGTTTTCATATTTATTGCTTTTTAGATGTGAAATTTTAATTTATTTCTTCTTTGATCTAAGAGTTATTTATCACTGTTTCTTAATTTCTAAGTAGTTGGATTTAATATGTCCATATTTTTGTGATCAAAGAATGTGTTTGGTAAAATCTGCCATTCAAAATGTGTTAAGGATTCTTTATGGCATAGCTTTGGTTTACCTTAAGAATGAGGGTCTAAAAAAAAAAAAAAAAAAGAGTGAGGGCCTGAAGCAGCCACCGGGTCCCGGATTATGTTAGGATTTTGTTGATCTACCATTGGACATTGCATTTCTTGAGGGCAGGGACCACATTTTATTCATTTCTGTGTCTCCAATTTATTTGCTAGAAGATAATACATATTTTGTTTTACACTCTCCTCTCTACCTCCAATCAAAAATTTACAGTACAAGATCCCAAGTGGAAGACAAGGCATATAGTTATTTTATTAATCCCAGGTAGCAAAAAATTATTACAATAAAAATTTTAAAAAGTTTATATCCATACATGGTTTTCTTAATTAATTAACTAATTAATTAATAACTATATTGGTAATACAGTCACATAATTAAAAATCAAAGTGATATAAAATGATATTCATTAAGCAGCCTTTATCCCACCCTAGTCTCTATTAATTTTATATCTCTTTAGCTCTGCAGAGTTCATTCAGTCATTCAACAAATATTTATTGAGGTGCTCAGTATGTGCCAGACACTGTTGTAAGTGCTAAGGGGATAGCAATGAATAAAACAGCACAATTGTGCCCTGATAGTGCTTACTTTTGGTGGGAGAGACAGTCAATAAACAGTGTAAATAAGTTATATAGCATATTAGAAGGAGTTAAATGCTATAGAGAAAAATAAAGCATTAGGTAGAGAGTATAGGGAGAGAAAGAAAGTTTGCAGTTTTAAAGGATGGTCAGCAAAGAACTTGAGTAAAGGCTCAAAGGAGTAACAGGAGCAAACTATGCAGGTATCTACAGGCTAGGGAGTGAAAGGCCCTGAGGTGGGAGTGTGTGTGTGTGTGTCGGGGGGGGGGGTTGGGGGGGACGGTGTTTAAGGAACAGCAAGATGATTGCAGTAGAATGAGCAAGGGGAAGTGCAGTAGAATGAGCAAGGGGAAGAGCTGTAGATGAAATCAGGAAGGTAAATCAAGCAGAGCTTCAGAATGTGTTGAGTTTTTGTGTAACTGAAAATACATTTGAGAATGTTAAGAAATAGAAACTATTTGTTTAAAGATGGGCTTAAGGTTAAAAACTCTAATTTATATATATATATATAAAATATATTTCTTTATTGATTTCAGAGAGGAAGGGAGGAGAGAGAGATAGAAACATCAATGATGAGAATTATTGATCGGCTGCCTCCTGCACACCCACTACTGGGGATTGAGCCTGCAACCCAGGCATGTGCCCTTGGCCGGAATCGAACCTGGGACCCATCGGTCCGCAGTCTGACACTCTATCCACTGAGCCAAGCCGGCTAGGGCATCTAATTTTTATATTTTTATGAAAGATTTCACTATATGTTCATACTTTCAGACAAGTAAAATATTGTGTTGGGTGAGTTACTGCTAATGAGTTATTTTTGGTCTAAGATGATTTAAAAAATATACCAAACACACACATTTATATCAACATTTATCCTGTAATATAATTATATATAGTAGTATTTCAGGAATGATATGGTATGATTTGTACTGTATCCAAATCTTTCAGACAATAAATTTGTATTGATAATTTTCTCTGTGATCTATAATAATAAAAGTGTAATTAAACCAACAGCCAAACCTTCTGGACATCATTCCTGATGAAGCCGTAGTGGCGGGGGCTAAGGCAGAGGCGGTTAGGGGCGATCAAGCAGGCAGGCAAGCAGTTAGGGGCGATCGGCAGGCAGGCAAGCAGTTAGGGGCATCAGGCAGGCAGGCAGAGATGGTTAGGGGTGATCAGGCAGGCAAGCAGAGTGGTTAGGGGTGATAAGACAGGCAGACAAGCAATTAGGGGCATTAGGCAGGCAGGAAGAGTGGTTAGGGGTCATCAGGCAGGCAGATGAGTACTTAGGGGTGATCAGGCAGGCAGAATGGTTAGGGGCGATCAGGCAGGCAGAATGGTTAGGGGTGATCAGGCAAGCAGGCAGGCGAGCAGTTAGGAGCCGAGGTCCCAGATTGCGAGAGGATGCAGGCTGGGCTGAGGGCCCCCCCCACCCTCCTCTAATATGATATATAATTAAATCACTAAACCAGAAATCAGCACATAATCTAATGTTATTTAATACATGAGAAGGTTCGCTTTGTTCTTGTAAAATGTAATTCAGGAATGCTAATTTTAGCCCTGGCTGCTTTGGCTCAATGAATAGATCCTCGGCCTGTCGACTATAAGGGTCCTGGGTTCGATTCCAGTCAAGGGCACATCCCCAATGGGGGGCATGCAGGAGGCAGCCGATCAGTGATTCTCTCTCATCATTGATGTTTCAATCTCTCTCTCCCTTTCCTTTCCTCTCTGAAATCAATGAAAAACATATTTAAAAAAAGAATGCTAATTTTAAATCAAGGTTTAACTGTTCTTTTTTTCTTCCTATAGTGCCACTCAGATTCTTGAGGGGTATCCTGTTCTCTATTACACAAGGTTTGTCCTTTTTGAATGCAGATGTTAAAGCATCCTGGTTGGTTTGAGGACAAGTCTTAAAATAGTGAGAATTTTAATAACATATTAAATTGACATTTCTTCTTTTAGATTTAGAGAATTGTTCAAAGCCAAATTGGGACTACTTGGAGAAAGGAAGGGTGATGATGATTTAATTGCATTTCTCTTACATGTGAGTTTATCATTTAATCTCTTTTTCTGATTAACATTTGAATTATTAATTAGCATCTTCTCAAAGAACTGAGATTGATAAATATACTTATTTTCATTAGCTCATGGAAAACACAGAAGCTGATTTTACAATGACATTTCGGCAGCTCAGTGAGATTACTCAAAGCCAGTTACAGGAGCTCAACATTCCTCAGGTATTCATTAGTGACACTGGGCTTTTTTAACTGGGTTGTTGAGGTATAATTTATATTCCATAAAATTTCACTCACCTTAAGTATACAATTCAGTGATTTTTAACTAATTTACACATTTGTGAAGTTATCACAATGCAATTTTGGAACAATTCCAACACACCTGGGTCCTTTGTGCCCTTTTGCAGTCAGTCTCTGCTTCTACGCCCAGCTCCCAGCAACTACTGATTGATTTTCTGTCTCAAGGTTTTCATTTTCTAGACATTTCCTATAAATGGAATCATACAATATGTGGTCTTTTGCATCTGGCCTCTTCACTTTGCATATTTTGAGGCTCATTCATGTTGTAACCTGTATCAGTAGTTCTTGCCTCTTTCTTTCGTTGTATAGACATACCACATTTTACTGATCCATTAGGGTCATTTCCATCTTTGGATATTGTGAATAAACACTGCTCTGAACATTTGTGTACAAGTTTTTGTGTGAACACATGTTTCATTTCCCTCGTGTATATTCTAGGAGTGGAATTGCTGGATGGTTTAGTAAATTTGTTTAAATTTTAAATTTTAAACTGTTTCCAAAGTGGCTGCACTTAATTCACTTTTAAAAATATATGTTGCCGCCCTAGCCGGTTTGGGTCAATGGATAGAGCTTTGGCCGGCGGACTGAAGGGTCCTGGGTTTGATTCCGGTCAAGGGCATGTACTTGGTCGGGGCACATGTGGGAGGCAACCAATTGATGTGTCTCTCCACTCTCTAAAAAAAAAAAAAAAAATCAATGGAAAAATATCAAGTGAGGATTAACAAAAGCGTATATGTTGCCTTTTCATTTCAATTATAATACATTGAATATATTGTTTATGGAATAATATGGGTATTGCCAGAAGATTTCTATTTACTATATATTTTTAGAAACATAGATCTATTTTTAAGGTCTCAGTCATATATATTGCAGTTATTGTTTTTATCATTGTTGAGATTAAAACCTAGTCTTATTTTTTCAATTTTAATTTCTTCATTATCTTTCATGACATTCTCTATAATGTTATCTTTTTATAATTCAGAAGATATTCAGCCTCATTTATGCACTCATGCAACACGTACTTATTGAGAACTCACTGTTGTTGACAGTTTATTCTGGGATAGACATTATAGTAAATGTTTTACAAAATAATAAAAATTTATTAATAATATAGTGACAGTAATAGCTAACATTTGAGTCCTTATTATGTTCTAGACACTATTCTAAGCATTTTATATATAAAATCTGTGACATAACATATAAGGTAATACCATTGTGATATCTATTTTACTGATAAAGAAATGGAGGCATAGAGAGATTAGGTAACTAGCGCCAGGTCACACAGCTAGTGAAAGGCTGGCTGGATTCAAACACAGGCAGCTTTCCCCAGAGTTCATGCTCCTAGTAATTCCCAAGCTCTTTCTCATTTAAAAAAAGGATGGGCCAGCTCTTTCCTCAGTCCCTTGATCCAGGCAGTCACCAAAGGAAAGGTATCTTGGGCTAAGTCATAAGGCTTGGAATTAGAGTCCTGTGGAGTTTGTGGAGTTTCCACAGTCGTTTTCATGCGTATGTTTAGGGGGAAGTGTTCTGTGGTGACTGGAGAGAGCTGGCCCTGGCAGCAGATTAGGTGCTTCAAATCCGGGGTTCCCTTTTGACAGGCCGTGTGAGCTTGTACACATTACTGTTTCTCTAACCCTCACTTGTTTCATCTGTAAGATAGAATTAGTAATAATGCCTACCTCATTGGTGCTCAATAATGTTGTCTAGCAGTAGAGATTTCAGACTTCTGTTTTTTCAGCGTGATCTCCACATGGAGTTTAAAGGAAAGGGTGCCATGATCAAAACTATACTACCAGAGGCTTCATTCAGCTCTTACCACTTATTTACAACTATTTTCAAACAAAAATAGCCGTCAGTGTCGGAAATGAGAGTTAAACCAGTGTTCTTTGAAAAAGAAGCATAGTACGTGTTATTGTAAAGATAGGTATGGACCATAGTAATTATAAGAAAAAATATTTTTCTCATGGGCATGGACAGCCTTAAATTACATTTCAAGGAATGATTTGAATTAAAAAATGTCTACCTATTCAGTGGGAAATACAGAAAAATGTTAACCAATAAGAATCTTTGATATAATTGAAAAAATTATTAATGATGAATCTATCAGAACTAATTATCATTTAATGTGTAGAAAACTGAGACAAAGTAATGTTAAAGTGACTTCTTCAAGTCTTTGACAGATATCAATAGTTAAATTACTAAGAGTTGGGAAAATTTAATTGTGAAGAGCTCATTACACTTTTAATCATTTAAATAGTTAATTTCTGTCTTTTGAATATGAAACCTTTTCAACCCCCTGACTTTTAGGTAGAGCTAATTGCTCATTCTTTTGTGTTCCCTTATCCTTTATATATATCCACTAGAGGCCCGGTGCACAAAATTTATGCACAGGAAGGGGGGGGGGTGTCCCTCAGCCCAGCCTGCACCCTCTCTAATCCGGGATCCCTCTTGAAATCCAGGACCGCT